ATAAAATTTTAGTTAATAATTAATACTTAATATTTCTAATAAAATTTATAACAAACATATTAAACAGTATAACAGTATATAATTCTATACTTTCTTGTTATACATCGATCTGCGATTAAAAATGAATTGGTAAATGAAATAATTTAACGTCCTCATGAAAACATATTGCCTCGAACCATGAAACAAGAAAAGAATCGGACTAACCTTAATCCAAACAGATATCGCCCTTCATACTTTATTAAATATTTTGTTATCCCATAATACTCAAATACCTGTGAGACTAATCAGCGGACTACTTTCGTATATCTTGCATTTGTGATCTCTAGTGTATTGTATGCTCTTTACTGATTTGTTGGGCGACGTGAATGCACCGAAAGGATAATATTTTTCCTTACTACCAAACCATCTCTAACGTTCCCTTTGTCTAATGATGTCGTTATTTATAGAAAGACCAGCGGAGGAACAACAGGAAATGGATACACGATTATACGAAGAACAAAAACTAATTTCGCCGGTGATAAGAAATCTGACCGTAGCGTCCACGTCGAAGACGACCGTCAGTGTAAAGTGTAACAAGTACCGAAAGTCGTGCCGACTGCATCAACTACTAGACAAACCGGAGCCGATCATGATCCGCTATGCGGTAAACGTTGGACGGTCGCCGCCGAAATGCAAGCTCTATCGTAAGTCATGCAAGGGTCAAAATGCGACTGCCCAGACGCCGCTGAGCAGTGTGATCAACGGCGCCGAACGGATGGCGGCGTTCGTCGACGAGGCAGCGGCCTCGTCGTCGTTCTTTTGGAAACTGACCACGCTGCTAGTGCCGAACATGGTATCAACGACTAGCACGGCTGTCGACAAGCCATGCATCAGGTACAGGAAATCGTGCAAAGACCGCCAGTCAAAGATAGTAATGGCACCACCACTGGACAGTCAGCAAATACCCGGCGGTCAGCTGCCACCGAGGACTCAAAGAGGTGCTCAGCCATGCAAGTTGTACCGCAAGTCATGCCGACGCGATCAAAAGCTAGTAGATAGGCCAACGACGGCGGCGATGGACGAACAACAGTCCAGAAATGCCACATTGTCACAGAAGGCTGTCAAAGAGACACGTGGCTCGACAGCAAATAAGAATGCCTCAAAGAACGGTCGAACGAATCAGTCAACCGATGAACCGAAAGGAAAAAAATCTGCTTCGACGTCGGCAAATTCGTCGTCAAAGAAGAAGAATGCGAAGGCTACTAAAGCGAAGGCCAAGAAGACGTGCTCAAAGAAAAAATCAAACAAAAGCACGGCGGCCGACAGAAGCTTTGTGATTCCGCAGACTCTGAAGCTGTCATGCAACCGATACAGGAAGTCTTGCCAGGAAGAGGCCAAAAAATTGTTACTGGCCAAGCACGAGCAAGCAACACAACGGGTAAACGATTCCTCTTTTCCCACCACTCCTTCATCGCCTCCGACTGTGATCTCCGCTGCAGGTCAAAGTATTCGCACAGCGACCACCCGACCGCCTACCGTAAAATGTTCCCGGTACAGGAAAACGTGCAAACACGAATCTCTCGCTCCCATCTCCATCCCCGACATTGTAGCGAAGCGGCCGACTCCTAAGTGTCCGAAGTACCGCAAGTCGTGCAATGCATCGACACCGGTGATACTGAAACCTTCCGCCGCTACTGAACAACAGGCAACGATGATCACAATCGTCACTGAGCAGGATCTACGCGACATCAAACCGTCGGTCAGCAAATGCAATCGTTACCGCCTATCGTGCCAAAAGCTTATGAAGGGGAATGCGAGCAACGGCGCGACTCCGCCAACGACATACGAATGAACATACCCAAGTGTAGAACTGGCCGGAACCGGCTGGAACCATCAACGCCCGTTTGCTCATCAACAACAGCGTAGTACGTTGTTGAAAGTATAGCATTGCACCGTAGTAACGGAAATCAGCAAACCGCTGCATGTATAACTAGGCGTTTGGCTTTGTGCTGTTTCGTCGTGCATGTGTGAATAAATATGTTTCCTGTTTATTTTGGACAGTAAATTTTTTATGATACAAATTTAAAAAAGTTAGGGACAATACAGCACTATCGAGGGCCTACATACAGACAACTATGCTGAAAAATTTTTAATACTTCAGTAAATGCGATAACCTAACCAGGCCATGTGCTAAACGATCAGGATATGAAAAGAGGTACATATGTTAGTACCATACGCCTATTCTTAATCTGATTTTCAAGAGGAACGAAAAAACTGAGAAAAAGAAGGAAAGGACGAGTAGAAAAGAAGAACTGACGATCTGAGAGGATCAAAACAAGGAATAATCACTGAACTGTGACTGGGAAAAAAAGCACCGAGTACATTCAGAAAGAAGCGGGAAACCGAATTCCAAGGCACAGTTCACTCTAAAAAATAAGAAAGAAAACAAAAGAAAGTTAACAACCGTTGTAAATGCAGACTTTCTTGATGAGGCCATTTCTGGCGACGCTTTTATCATGAAGTTAATGGTAAAGAACAAATTTCCATTTCCTACATTCCCGAGGTTTCACAGAAAAAACTTCGAGTCTGGAGCAGACTTCGACGTGCTGATTATAGGCCATTCTTATTCTGAGGTGCTTCTGACAGGTCGATTGAGCAAGTGAAACGTGTATCACCTCCCTTTCTGGCAACATTCGCAGCACGTGGATTCTCAATCTGGAGAAGCAAAGCTCGTACACCAAAGTTATCTTCGATACCTGAACTCCAGACCCTGTCGGGACGAGTGATTTTCACAAAGTAAAACACAACCCAAAGCTACGTCAACTGCTCCATCAATTTTATTGCTCCTCCATTCTTGTGCCGAGCGAAGCGGGCAGGAGAATGAGAAAACACTAGGCTTTGGGTTTCACTCACGTTCAAATTCATGCGATCATGTCGGTTTCTACTGCAAGAATCCGTAGAGCCTGTGGATCATTCATCTATTACGAACACCTAATACTGTCACATCTTACAGTGCAGCTCCGGGGAGCTCACTTGATCAAAAAAGGACCGAAAACAGTAGTAAAGCTCCAGAAGCAGTGTCCATTGAACTGACGAAAATTCCTAATCAAAATCATCAAATGAAGCAAGGAAGTAACGAGTGAATGACATGGCATTTTATGCACGTTACGCAGCACAACTGAAGACGGTCAGTTGTACTGATGGACTAGCCAAACAACGCTCCTTTACGAATTTGCTCTTCAACGTCATTGAAAATAAACTATTCTATGTCTCAGTCCCGATCTTTCAGTAATCAAGCAATCTACATCAAATCCAAAGGAGAAATGATGCCAAAATTACATTTTTGATTGATACTGGTGAGGGTGAAAATCTAGCCATTAAAATCTGAATCGAACTTTCTATAAAGTGCCCGTGCCCAATTATAATCTCTACAATTAACTTAAGTCATAAAGCACCTACATTAACTTCGACTTCTTTCATCCATTCATTGCACTCGTCGTCGTAATCCAACTTGCAAGCTGTTGATAAATCGCGAAACGATTCTTCATAATTACCAAGCAACCTAAACATGACACACACACTCTTGTACTCAAAACAACTGAGATGCAATAAAGAAGAAAACTTAATGCAACTACTAATCTAAAAATTCACCTATGGGCCCTTCCACGGAACTTATATGGTAGTGCTGAATCCGGGTTGATCTTCACCGCTTTGTCACAGTCCAGTGAAGCCGCCCGTGGTCGTCCCATCTGGAGCAAAACCCTAAAGAAACATATTATAAACTTACCAAACGAGTGCAAATTTTATTATCAAAAGCAGAGGGTTCCAACGGGCCCCGCGAGATAAACCCGCCATCAGCTCTGTAAAAGTATTTTGAACCCGGCGAGCTGTGCTTGAAGGTGAAGTGTACCCAGCGTCAGTATGATCGGCATGATAAGCTCATCAGTTGGAGCTGTGGACCAGCTAATCCATTTCTGGCACGATTATAGTTAATTATCATTAAATTCATCAGCCGCTCATCCACTGATCGATTCAAATAATCAGGATAACAACCTATCTGTCAACTTCTTCATATCACCTGTAGTGTTCGGTCAGCATTTACTTTAAAACATTAACCTTTTTTATATACTTGTGTTGAACTACCTGTTCTGAAGTAAAGAAAATTTTGCACATTTTCGATGAACATCGGATAGTGACTATTTAATACGACAATAAATTTGACTATATTTAAATAACAAGTTTCACGACTCACTAGTGAAAGCGGACTAACGCCGTAGCAGTTACTTGGCACTACGTCATTTCACAATATGGTTTTCAATTTTCAATTCAGTTCAATTGTCAAGTTTTCTCTATATTTATCTCCTTTACTAAAACTAACGAATGTGCTAACCAACTATGAGCAAGACAAGTAAGATTTATTATATCACCTATATATATTTGTCTAAACAAAGGGCGTCTACCAGCTCACCTGATCACAAGACCTGCATCACCTTGCCATACGTT